CACCTGAAATTTCAAATCCTTTTGAACTTTGTGGAACTTGCTTTGTTTATTTCTTCACTTTTACTCTGCAAGTATCACTGTTAGACATCTTTGAGTTTTAGAAAAAACAAGAACACTAAATCAGTTATTTACAATAAACCATAGGCTTGCCTTTCTTGTCAGTCGTCACTAATGTAGATCAATACTGACTTTAGAATCTTTTAGGACTTTTATTAGCTTATAATGTTAGGCTTTGGGCTGGTAGGATACAAGGAAAATATATAAAGTGACTTCTTCCCTTTTTTTTTTCTTTTTTCTTTTTTGGTGGCTTGATTTTCAAACATAGATGACTTTGTTCGAGAATTGGTGTTGATACGAGAATTTTAAATTTATATAACCCTCTAACCTTTTTTTTTTATTTTTTTATTTTTTTTTATTTTTTATACATAAACACTCATATGCACGTGCTATACATGTTCTTACATATGTGTGTCTATATATCCATATATATATCTATATATATATATATATATATANTTTTTTTTTTTTCTCTTTTTTTTTTGATTGAGATAAATATTTCTCTGGAGACTTCACATACACCAATTCACAAATCGTCATCCATTGAACATGAGGCTAGATAATGAAGAAATGGATTTTTTTTTATATAAATATATATATGTGATAACAAAATTTGTATACATATGTGTACAAGTATGCTTGATGTTATAAGGTATAGATGAAAAAAAAGGATATTTAGGCTCAAAATGGGATACTAAGGATAAATTTCATTTGGTAGTTATAAAGAAAGGCTCAATCGATCCAAAGATAGCCTAATTCATTTTCCAAAATCAGCATTTTTCTAGGAGTTCGCCTTGACTAACAATGGAAGCAAGTTCTAGTTATTGAATATATTGATTTCTGCATACCTTGATTTTCTTTAAACAGTCAAAGTTGCATCACAGTAGAAAACTTACATCAGCAAAAAATGGAGACATAAAAATAGAAGTCTTCAATGTTCTATGGACCTGAAATATTCAGATATGTTGCCAAGAAATGAGCAAAGCTTATTCATGTGCAAATTATTTTGAAAATTCTTTTTTTTTTTTTGAGCTTGGACGTACAACTTTCTGGTACTACAATGACATAAAGTTAATGACAATACTATTTTTAACGTTTCTTGCTTTAACTCACCACGTCCAAGTTATTTATTTTTATTTTTTTATTTTTATTTTTAATATATATATATATATATATATATATATAAAAGTACTAATAATAACGAAAGATAAGAAAATAAGCTATTTTAGTTGTAAATGTGCAAAGTACCAAAATAACTTACATTAAGCATACATTCAGGGTTTCATTGCAACTAACAGGTTAGACTATGTACAAGCTATTACCATAGCTATCAAAATGATGTTACATGTTGCAACCTTCTTCTTCATACTAACATGAAAACATAAATCAACAGGTTAATCTCATGACTAGTACAACAAAAATTTAGTACCAGTTGTTATAGCACCAAACAATCAACCTTAGATCTGCCATTTCATGGCCTATTTACATACACAAAAACTGCACTTATCAGCATGCCAAAGCGCTCCATTCTGTCATCCAGCAAAAATCATTAAAGAAGAAAGTTTTTTTTTAAGGTTTTGTTGAAAAAGAAAGAAAACTTTCTTCTTCTTCCAGTGAACAAAAACACAAACATCCACCAACAGGTTTTTCCAAACCAGTAGAGAGAAGCTAGTCAACAACTCCAAAATTATTATAGAGAAAAGGTAGCCAGAAAATTACCATCTCCCACACCTAAACTGTTCATTCTCTTGAATGAACAATTTGTTGTTCCGTTCTTAATTTTCATGACCATTACCTTGAAAGAGATCAAGGTATGTATTGACATCAAAACCATTTTCTTGTTGAATAGGAACTGACGAACCTCCAGTTGTAGCAACTCCATGGTTAGCTTCCAGTTTAGAGAAAACAGAAAGGGGCTGACTGCTAAATGTCATCGGACTTGCTGTAGTTCCACTTCCCCTGTTTATATCCATCGTTGTTGTGGGAAATGGTGTTGGTACAAATACATGTGTTCCCTGATAGAGATTTGCACCTGTAACATTAAGGCAACCACCACCTGAAACAATTAAATGAGGGAAAAAACTAGGAATATCAGAACTTCTCATAGTGTTAGCAATATTGCACATCACAGTTCCTATTGTGTAGATTATGGGAGAGGTATATGCAAATTGATTTTGCAATGTTTGGCATATGAGATTATGAGTATTTCTAGCTTCTGTTAATTCTCTCAAGATATGTTCAACATGTGTTGTGAATACTGCTTCACGCACTACTTGTTCACTTCTGAAAATCTCCCAACTATTCATCAATTCAGTCTGCCTTTGTAACAATTCTTGTATACTAACCAGAATATCAGGAACGAGGATGGTAGGCGTGGTTCCAATTTCTGAATTAAGAGGTTGTTCAGGCTCATTTTCCGCTTCGTTTCCACTATCAACAAGCATTTGTTCCTGTTCAACTTGAGTTGGACCAGTAGGAGGTCTCAAATTATGGAGAAAGTTCTACCGATGAAGTAGGAATTTTCAGTCTTCTGTAAACCACTCAAATCCACATCAAATAAGGAGGCCAAACGAGTGATAGTTGAAGGAAAATACAAGCATTCACAATCAGACTTGATCCGACAACTAACCATAGCATTGCTAATCAATCTCCCCACATTCACAGGCAATTCATGCATAATCGCATATATCAAAAGAACTTTTTCTATATTGTAGTTCGAGGTATTCAAATACGGGATTAAGCGAGAACTAACGAATCTACCCCAGGCTCTTGCTAATTCAAGCATACATGAACAGTTAATATTCAAAGGGCGTTCAGCAGTTCCCGAGTAAACTTTAACACCATTAGGACACAACTCGCCTAACACATGTCTTACAAAATCTACATCCCGATCATCCATAAATTTCTTGGTCTCGCTATCATCAGTGTTTCTCAAGTTAAAAATATCGTTTATAAATTCAGCATCAAAGCGAATAATTTTACCTCACGGTTGAAGTACGACTTACTGGATTAAGATTGCTGTAGAATTCCAGAACTATGTTTCGATTGTAATCCCCCGGGCACTGAACAAAAGACCTCCACCCAAAAGCATTGACTGTTTGTAAAATTTCTTGTGCCTTCAAACCACCAGAAGGGAGAAGCAACATCTCATATTCTTCAACCACTCTCCGATTTGCCGCTCTAAGTTTCCATAATTCCGGGTCAAAGATTTCCCTTCTAGAGTTATTTGAGTTATTTGAAAGAGTTACTTGTGTAATATTCATTTTTTTTCTTTTTCAGGTGAAAATCAAGTGTCTAACCAGATTGGTGTATTTGGAAAATTGAACAGAGAAGAAACAAAGGGGTGCAAAGATAGTGAAATTTGTTGAAGATAAGGAAAAGAGAAGAAAGAAATTCTTTTTTTTTCTTATGTGATAGCCATGACTGAGAAATTACAGAGATGGGTGAGGTACTGTAAAATGGGGGATGAAACAAGAGAAAGGAAGAGTTTTTCCTTTACTGTGGAATTGTTTGTTTGGTCTGTGGGAGAGATAAATGTGAGGTTAAAACCTCTTATTTATTTACAATCCCCTTTCTTTTTCTTTTTTTTGTTTTTGTTTTTGTTTTTGTTTTTGCTTTTGTTTTTGTTTGTTTGAAGCCACCGTAACAATTTTTGGGCAGTTGTTTTGATAAGTTTTACCCCTTAACAACCTTTGCCAACTGAACGTGATCTTTCATTTGATTTGAACAGATTTTTTTTTAAAATCTTTCTTTTTCTTTTTCTTTTTTCCTTTTACCTTTTTTTTAATTAATTAATTTTTATTTTCTTTAACTATGTCATAGAAAACTGCTGAAAGTTACGTAAACATACAAAAATAAATTTTTTTTTATTTTGTTTTTTTGATTTTTATAGTAAAAAATAAGGACTAACATAAATAATTTTTTTTCTTTCATTACAATTAGTATACAGTATATATACATTATATTTTTCATTAATTAACCTTCCTTTTTTTTTTGCAATAAAAGTACCTATATATATATAAAAATTGTTTACTAAGTTACAAAAAATTAGGAAGATTAATAAGAGAATAGTCTGAGTTTAATGGCGGTAACTCGACTTATTAAATATACACACACACACACATATATATATATATATATATACTATATACTATATACTATATACTATATATTTTTTTAAGCAATAAGGATTGTCGAAACCTGTTTGTCAAATGTTCTGGTGACATAAGGCTTCAAACGATGGCCGTTCACTTTGAATTTGTTTCCCCCATTCATGTGTTATATTTCAATGGCACCATAAGGGGATACTTCAGTTATGATGTACGGTCCAGTCCATCGTGACTTAAACTTTCCTGGAAATATTCTCAATCGACTATTGTATACAGAACACTATCTCCAACTTTAAAGCTTTTATTGCGAATGAACTTGTCATGCCATTTTTTTGTTTTTTCCTTGTACAATTTAGCATTTTCATATGTTGTAAGTCTGAACTCTTCTAACTCATCAAGCTGTAGTAGACAATTTTTTCCTGCAACTGGCAAGTTTAAATTTAATAATTTTATAGCCCAATATGCTTTATGTTCCAACTCTACAGGTAGATGACAAGATTTTCCAAAAACTAGTCTATAAGGAGATGTGCCTATTGGAGTTTTGAAAGCAGTTCTGTAAGCCCACAAAGCGTCATCTAATTTTAGAGACCAGTCTTTTCGAAAAGAACCAGCAGTTTTTTCTAAAATTCTTTTTAATTCTCTGTTGGATATTTCTACTTGTCCGCTTGTTTGTGCATGATATGGAGTTCCTGTTTTATGAGTAACTCCATATCTTGACAACAAAGAAGCAACTTGTCTATTTATAAAATGAGTTCCTTGATCACTTATGATAACTCGTGGAGTTCCAAATCTAGAAAAGATATTTTTCTTGAGAAAATCGCAAACAACTCGAGCATCATTTTTTTAGTAGCAATTGCTTCTACCCATTTTGAGACATAATCAATAGCTACTAAAATATATTCGCAACCATTTGAAGGAGGAAAAGGACCCATGAAGTCAATGCCCCAAACATCAAATATTTCACACACAATAATAGAGTTAAGAGGCATTTCATCCCTTTTTGAAATGTTACCGGTTCTTTGACATTGGTCACAAGCGGCAACAAAATTTTTTGCATCTTTGAACAAAGTAGGCCAGAAAAAACCAACTTCAAGTACTTTAGCTGCTGTCCTTCTTCCTCCGTAGTGTCCTCCTACAGCTCCATCATGGCAGTGACTTAAAATGTTGTTCATTTCTGATTCAGGTACACATCTCCTGATTATGTCATCTGCACAAAATTTAAACAAATAAGGATCTTCCCAATAATAATGTTTTGCCTCTTTTTTAAGCTTTTTTCTTTGATCGTAAGACAAATCTTTTGGAATCCACCCCCTGCTAAATAATTGGCAATATCATCAAACCAAGGCGGTTTAGTTATATCCACCGCGACTGAAAAAATATGCTCATCAGGAAATTCCTCTTGGATATCTAGTATTTCAGTAGGAGGATTCTCTAAACGTGACAAATGATCAGCTACCTGATTTTCTGAACCTTTCCTATCTTTTATTTCGAGATCAAATTCTTGTAAAAGGAGTATCCATCTTAGCAATCTAGGTCTAGCGTCTTTCTTTGCTAATAGATACTTTAAGGCTGCATGATCGGTGAATACTGTAACCTTCGTTCCTATCAAATAAGAACGAAATTTGTCAAACGCAAATACTACTGCCAATAACTCTTTCTCAGTTGTTGCATAGTTCATTTGAGCTTCATTGAGGGTTCTACTGGCATAGTATATGGGTCTAAAGATCTTATTTTTCTTTTGTCCCAATATTTCTCCTATTGCTATATCACTTGCATCACACATTATTTCAAAAGGCTGGCTCCAATCAGGAGAGACAACAATTGGAGCATTAGTCAATTGTTCTTTGAGAAACTGAAATGCTTTTCTGCAATCATCTGAAAATTCAAATTTCACATCTTTCATCAGTAGGTTAGTTAGAGGTTTTGAAATTTTTGAAAAGTCTTTTATAAACCTTCTATAAAAACCTGCATGCCCTAAGAAACTTCTAATACCTTTAACAGTGGTGGGAGGGGGTAATCCTGCTATAAGATCAATTTTAGGCTTATCAACTTTTATTCCTTTAGCAGTGATTTTATGTCCTAAAACAATTCCCTCCGTTACCATAAAGTGACACTTTTCCCAGTTAAGAACTAGATTTGTCTCTTCGCACCTTTTAAGCACCAAAGTTAAATGATAGAGACAATCTTCAAATGTCTTACCAAAAAGTGTGAAATCATCCATGAAAATTTCAAGAAACTCTTCAGTCATATCTGAGAAAATTGCCGACATGCAACGCTGAAATGTAGCAGGAGCATTACATAGTCCAAATGGCATTCTTCTGTAAGCATACATACCTTGAGGGCATGTAAATGTGGTCTTCTCCTGATCTTCTGGAGCAATTGGTATCTGATTATACCCAGAATATCCGTCAAGAAAACAATAAAAACTATGGCCTGCAATTCTCTCAAGCATTTGGTCAATAAAAGGCAAAGGAAAATGATCTTTCCTTGTGGAATCATTAAGTCGTCTGTAATCTATACAGGCTCCCTATCCTGTGACTGTTCTAGTAGGTATGAGTTCATTATTTTCATTTTTTATTACGGTCATACCTACTTTATTTGGTACTACCTGCACAGGACTTACCCAAGGGCTATCAGATATTGGATAAATGATGCCTGCCGCGAGAAGTTTCACTACTTCTTTTTTTACAACTTCGTGCATTGCTGGATTCAGTCTCCTTTGGGGTTGGACTATAGGTTTGTAATTTTCTTCCATGAGGATCCTATGCATACAAATAGCTGGATTGATTCCTTTGATGTCAGCTATATCCATCCTAAAGCTCTTTTATGTTTCCTCAAGACTTCTATCAGTTTGTATTCCTGTTCTGGAGTCAAAGAAGATGAAATGATTACTGGAAATAATTCAGGTTCAAGAAAAACATATTTTAAATGAGAAAGAAGATTTTTGAGTTTAATTTTTTATTGAACTTCTTCTTGTGAGACTTTCTCATTTTCTGATTCTTTTTCCAGTGTTTCAGCTTCTTCTCTGATTGTGGGATTTTCATCACCTGTCGTCCCTGACCTGACCAAACATCTTTCCAATGAATCAGTAATTAATTGATTATCCTTGAATTCATCTACAAGGTCAACTAGTAAGTCAATTTGAAAACAAGATGATGATGACTCATTCCCAGGAAATTTGATCATTTTCTGCATATCAAAAATTACTCTTTCCTCATCAACTCGAAATATTAATTGTCCTTGATGAACATCAATGATTGATCTTCCTGTTGCGAGAAATGGTCTACCTAAAATTAATGGTACCTCAATATTTTCTTCCATTTCAAGTACTATAAAATCTACTGGGAATACAAATTTATCTACTCTAACGAGGACATTTTTAATTATTCCTTTGGGCCTTTTAGTACTTTGATCAATTAACTGAAGAGACACACAAGTATCTTTCATTTCACCAAGTTCTAATTTCCTGAAAATTGAGAAAGGCATTAGATTTATTGAAGCACCCGAATCACATAATGCCTTTTCAAAGTGAGAACCTCCCACAGTACAAGGAATTGTAAAACTTCCTGGATCACCAAGTTTCTATGGAAGCTTATTTTGAAGTATAGCACTACATTTTTCGGTAAGCTTGACTACTGAAACTTCTTCCAATTTTCTTTTACTTGACAAAATTCCTTTGAGAAATTTAGCATATGAAGGCATTTGTGTCAAAGCTTCTATGAAAGGTATGTTAATGTAAAGTTGCTTTAAAATATCCAGAAACTTTGAAAACTGTTTGTCAAGATTTTCTCTTTTCATTTTTTGGGGAAAAGGGAGGGGTACAGAGTGAGGATTTGTCATCAATTCATTTTCTTGTACCTTTTTTCCTTTATCTTTCTGTTCTTTTAGAAGTTCAGAGTCTCTTTTATTCTCACCTTCATTTACTTGTTCCTCTTCTTGTAGTTTTCCTTGTCTATCTGAATATGGATCATCAAGAGTTTTACCTGACCGCAGAGAGATGACTTTGAGGTGTTCTTTTGGATTTTTTTTGGTGTTGCTTGGTAGAGCACCTTTTATTTGTTCAGACATAATGGTTGCTAATTGGCTCATCTGAATTTCTAAATTCTTGATATCTGAACTTTGACTTTCAACCTTCTCATCCAAAGCCTTAATGAATTTGTACATCATGTCTTCGAGGCTTTGCTGATGAGCTCTTTGGGGTGGTTGTTGATATTTCTGGAAATTTTGTTGCCCTCTGTTTTGATTTTGAAAACCAGGTAGTCCCTATCACACCTCCCTTTTTACCTACACCCCCGGGAAGGAGTGTAAAGGAGTTTTTTCCAATTAAAGGACAATCGAAATAGGATTAATTATTTAAAGATTCAGAGTCGTCACCGGTTTAATCCTGAATCGAGGAAAAGTTTGACTCTGTATTACAGTCAGCGAGCCAG